GTTTCACGTTTAATTCCTGTTCCTTTGAGCCACATCCATCGTTCTTTTCCTGCTTCATCATCCGTTTGTCGTAAAAACTGGCCATGAAGTGTTTTATCTTTCCATTCCTTTTGCCTTTCAATTTTTTTCCTATTCTTAAAGTCTACTACACTTTCTCCTTGACAATCCTCTATTTGCCTTGCAGCCACTAGTAATCTTTCACGGCTATTTCTCACATAGCTTTTCAGTCCAAGCTCAGCTAGATCAACAGTATCCTCTATGCTCAAAAGTCCTCTGCCCCCCTCTTTTCTAGGGATGTAAAGTCTGTTTGTGTTGCTCTTCGGGTGCAATCCCTTATGCATCGTGATTAATTTTCTTGTCTTCCGATCGATACCTTGCTTCTCTTCTTTGGTCCAATCTAAAAAGGCAGCTGAGTACCTTATCAAAGATACAGCCCAAATGTTAATCCCTTTAATCATGTTTTCTCCATTCAACTTCGTTTCTAGAACTTTTCTTACTCTTCTTTTATATTCTTTTGTGATCTTTTCTTTCATTTCTTGCCCTTTTACTTTGTCGACTTGTAATATTCCAAGATACTTATAACCTTTGTTGTCTTGCAACGACTTTATTACCTTCTCATCTGGCAGTTTAATACCTTCCGATCCTACTACTTTTCCTCTCTTTTGGATCAATGTCGCACATTTTTCTATTCCAAATTCCATTCTGATATCACTCGTGAATATTCTGACTTTCTGAACTAGCGAATCAAGTGCTTTTTCGCTTTCTCCATACAACTTCAAATCGTCCATAAATAACATATGGTTATTTTTTTCTCCCGAAGCGAATTTATACCCTGGTTTAGACTTTCGACTTGCTTCAGCCATGAGTTCCGTGGCCTTCCCCTTGGTCTTCTCCAGCCTGGGTCAACCCTCTCGGAGATGACCCTATGAGCCGGATCTTCCTCAGGGAAACGAGCCACATGTCCATAGAGCTGAAGTTGGCACTCTCGTATCAGACTGGTAATAGGTCTTGAATCAGTCTCATGGAGTATCTTCTGATTGGACACATGGTCCCTCCAGGTATACCCCATGATTCTGCGAAGACACTTAGTACCAAAGGAGTTAAGACGG